CCCTTGAGTCCTACCTGACCTTTCGCTTCCCGTGCAGCTTCAAGCGAGGCTACAGGAGCAATGCAAGTTCTCCGAAACCCTACCCTAAACCCTAAACTTCCCAAAATCCTTGAACCCTTAACCCTAAACCCTGAAGTTTTCCATACAAAGGAGCCCTCAGTTTTAGCTTCATACCCGAACTGTCCGCTCCACAAAAGTCTTTCGGTGTCCGCCCACAGGCCGAAACTCCAAACCCTAAAACACCAAAGTCCAAACCCTATAAATCCCCAAGCCCGCAACCCTGAACCCTTATACAACCCAGTAACTCTAAAGGGAACCCCCAAAAGGAAGCCCAAACCCTTTGAACTCTAGGCCGCAGTGCACATCATCCAGCACCACTTCACCTTCCCGGAGGGTTTCTTGGATGGAACGGAGCCACGGTTCAGGGTTGGGGGGGGTGGTTACAGGCAACAAACTTCTGCTCGGGGTTGCCGGTTTGGTTTCAGAGCTTTAGGGCTTGAAGTGGCAGCCCCCGGATCCGAAGACCTATGGGTAGTTGTCAGAACTAGGGTCCCTTTTTGGGTACCCTAAACAAAAGGTGCCGTATTATATTAAGGACCCAAGAAGGGACCCTAATTTTGACAACCACCCCTATGCAGCAGCAACGGAGCCCATTCTATCTTTCAAGGAGTCTGTTGTTTGTTGGGCAGGGATCTTTTGCTGTGACGTAAGGTATATAGCTTCAGTACAAGAGGCCGGCAGGGGGATTAGGATGGTTTTGGGTTCTGGCTGCAGTCTCCGGGTGAACCATAAAGCCTGACCTCCAGAAATCCTCACAGGCCGAAGAACCCTGCACGCATGAGACTTCCTCTTGTTGTGACTATGTGGGTAGTTCTCGAAGTTTATGAACCCCAAAGAATGCCGCACCTTTATAAAACGGACCTTAGAAGGGAACCTTATACTTGTATGGGTGTCCTGAGCCGAGGTCTCAACCGTGTTGTCTAATCCTCCAACGGGGTTTAGGATTTATGGCATGGTTTAGGGGTTCAGGGTGTAGTGTTTCACGGGGGAGGAGAGCTCAACTCGGAAGCTCAAGTGCCAAGCCGTTCCACACCTGGAGGGTGCATGGGCGCAGGGGGGCGGGGTACCACCGCAATCCCTAAGCCCTGCGTCATTCCAACAAGTCCAGCCAGGCATCCGGAAGCGACTTCACCGCCTGATCTACGATGAGCATGGTGCTAAGTGAGATCGGATGTTCTTTGCAGTAGCGAGCCTTAAACCCCACAGAGCTGGGCCCCAAAACCCCGAACGTCCAGACTGCAATGCCCAAGCCCAATTAACACCTTGTTGGGCTTGGGCGGGGGGTTGTTATTGGTGTAAAAGTCTAGGACGTTTTGGGTTTGGGCTTCGGGTGGGTTATGAGAGTTTAGGGTCACTAGCTTGAAGGCTTTATTAAGGCTCTTTAGGTACGTGTATTAGGCTAATTTCGGGCTTTGGGTCGGTTCGTTGGGGCTTCGGGCATTGAATTCGGTGGTGGTTGTCAGCACAGTGGAGCCGGTTCGCAGCTCCCGCGCTGCATCGCGCGACAGGTACATGTCAGGGTTACGGGTTTAGGGTTTGTATGACATGTATAATATCATAGGTCGTATTCCAATATGCAGCCCTAAACCTGAACCGGTTATCCTCATCTTCACTTTGAGGGTAATCCTTGCGCACTTGTAGTAACCCGCATACTCTAGACTCTAGAAGTCTTACAGGAACTTGGACTCGCAGGCCCTACGCGAACCGTAATGTGGAGAGCCCAAGACCCTAACGCAACGGATTTAGGTCGAGACGATGTGAGCTGCCTGAACGCATGCCCCCGACTGACTGTCCCCAAAGCGGCGTTCAGTGTTTCAGGGTTTACTGTAGAGTTTTCGTGTCTAGGGTTTGAGGTTCTGGGTTTAGGTGAAAAATTGATAATGCCACAGCTCTATCCCCCCAAAAGTCCCAAACACACACAACAAGCCCCCAATCAAGCCCCAACCCTACAGTCTAGACGCCCCAACCACTTGAGTCGCATAGTCCCCTGGCCCTAAACCCTAAACCCTGAACCCAAGCCCTAGCAGATTATCTGAGGTATGCCCTCACCAATGATCAAGTCCAGGCTGGTTGTGCGCTTCGGGTTACTTTGACAGTTAAGCGTTTCTTTTCTTTTCCGACGCTTCTGTTCCTTACGAACTGTCCCGTGGTCTTAATGATTTGTTTGCAAATCGTCCTGTTTGTGACAAGTTGCTCCGACGTAAACCTCAGGCCCTAGAGGCCTACAGGCCTACAGACACGCCCTCTGCAACCAGAGTCACACATACTTCCTCAAACAAAAGGTGCCTGCTTCAACCCGAAAGGAGAGGAGCGGGCGGGGGAGTTTCAAAACGGGGGCTCACCCCTGCAAGAGAAATTGGGAGACTCCCGATTTGAATTGTGTCCGGAGGCCTTGTCTGTAGCGGCTGTGACGTTCCTTCGGCTGCACTTCAGGTACTTCGTAGACTCCCATCTCTCTGTCCGTAGGTCCCATGAAAGCAAGTACCGGCGAGTACACATAAAGAAGGACATGGCCGTACCTTGTGCTTCTCCGAAAATGAGAGCTGTGCCTTAATCATAGAATCTTCTGTAACTTGTAGAAGAGATCCTAAGAAGGCCTAAGGTGGTTCTATGAGGATTCAAGAAGGCTGCTTTAGAGGTTATATATACATCTATATACATATTCTCTCTCTCTCTCTCTATATATATATATATATATGCTGATATATACACATGTATATAGACACATACGGGTTTTGGATTCAAGCCGTCGTTGTGGTCGAGCTGGGAACTTCTGTCTGCTAGGTCTGTCTCTGGGCACAGGAAAAGGGTAAACCCCAACTCCTGAGCCCTAAACCTACATGACCCATAGGCCCCATAGTAGTTCCTTTTGGGGATTACCTTACTTGGGGGGTCAGGGGACTTAGCAAGTAGACTTAAAAGTACCCTAAAAGGGACCCTCATTGGGGTTATGGTACTTATAAGTCCCTAAAACAACTAGTTACTAAACCTGGACAAAGGCATGTTGCGCCCCAATGCAACCCTAGACCGGAAACCTTACTTGGAGGGTCGGGGGACTTAGTAAGTGGTTATTTTGGGGACTTATAAGTACCATAACCCCAATCAGGGTCCCTTTTAGGGTACTTATAAGTCTACTTACTAACTACTTACTAAGTCCCCCGACCCCCCAAGTAAGACATCTTTAGAAGAGCTTGCGCAGCAGATGGGCCTGAAGAAGCTCACACCGAAACATCTCCGGAGTCCCACAGGCACGAGGCCCTCAAATGTAAACCCTTTAGAGTAGGGGTTGGTGCTAGTTTCTGGTGTATCTACGCGGGGCCTATCAGCGGATTCCAGCACTGGTTCTTGAGTTCGCTCTGTTGGTCCAAGGGCTTTAAGCCACACACTGGTTGCTAATGTAGCCCCACTGATTAGATAAGCCCCTAAACTTATGACTTTGTCTAGGAGTCTAAGTTCCGGTATAGAGTCGGGGGTTTAGTTAGTGATTGGGGTCTAAACCCTAAACCCTGAACCCGCAACCTCTACACTCAGGAACATCGATGGCAAGCGTCTCGATGAGGATGTGCTCTTGCCCTTCGGCGATATGAAGGGAGTGGTGAAAGCGAGAAACCTTTGAAATCCTGAGCCGTTAACTCCCCCCCAACTCTGAAACCTTTAACATACTTCCAGAGCGCTTGAAGCTTGACAGAAACGTGTAAGGGCTAGATGCTGAACTCCAAAGGAACATCGAGAAGAAGGAGAAAGCGCGACTCCGGAAGTGCGCCAAAAGGTTTGTATGGCTACAGGCCAGAGGTACTCATAACTTATATCCCCAATCATGGTCCTGATGACCATACGTACCAGGTGCAGTATGGGTACTTGTAGCCCCAACCAAAGTAATTGCTCTAGCCTTACTTACTCCGATCCCGTAACAAAACATCCTGCTTTAAGTCGGGTTGCAGCGTTTTAGTGCTTTGGTGCTCTGCGATGATCCTAGCTGCCTGTAGGTCCTTTGCCTCTTTCTTCAGGACTCCGAGCAAGGGCAGTCGACCCTATAATATCTATAGGCCCCATAAACCCAAAACCATATAAGCCCTACATCGTACCATTGTACTGTATTGAACCCAAAACTCTACCTAGACCCCCCCAACTGCCCTTTATTGTAGCCCCGAAATCCCTCTTAATGAGAAATATCAGAGCCCTTTAAAGGGCACTTCGGGGGGTCCTGGTAGACCCTCAACCGCCCGTCCCTCAAGTCTCAACCCCCAAGCCCCAAGATACGAAGCGGAGCCTTGGTTCTTTGAGTTTCGAGGGTCTATCTAGACCCGTACTTGAAGGATCATGGGACTTAGTAAGTAGGTTATAATTGGGGTTATAAGTCCCCTAAGTGGGGTTATCCTAATTATGACCTACTTATAACCTTACGTACTAAGTCCCATGAGCCTTCTAGACCCGTAAAGGGAACTCCAGAAAGTTGGAATATGGTTTCAAGGTAGGAGACACTATAATTTACCTTAAAGGGGTTACGATAATGATATTCCAACTTTCTGGCTTCTACTGTAGGGTTTAGGGTGTAGAGTGTTGATGGTTACTAGTACCTGCTTTCCTTATTACAGGCTCCGCCAAAAAGGCGGTGAACCCAAACCAGTAACTATGTGGGAGTTTGCCTGAAAGCAGGTACTTCGCGGACACTTGGAAGGATACCAGCCATTTGCTCGCGCCGGTGCCTTGTGCCACAGGGTTCCAGCTTCGAGAAGCACAGCAGGCGAGGCGTGCGTCGTTGGGTTTGCTGCAGAGATGCAGTGCCCGCAGTTGCTCACTCACTGTCTTGGCTTTGTCTCCATTCCCAGTGCACTGCCGTCATCGCATCTCGGCTCCACATGGCTACAAGAAGTACAGGATTGGGACTTGAAGTCGTCAAGAAGTGCGACCGTCAACGTTTTGTCTAGCCCCTCGTTGCCATGTCCTGCCTGACATCTACCCCGACTTTTCTTGCTGTTCCAGAACTGAAGCATGCAGACCGTCACAGTGATGTGGAAAGCACTGTGGCGAATGAGCACAGCGACATTGAAAGTGTCGAGGACTCTTGCCCTTCTGAAGTCCCATCGCCGCGCTCCAGTGGTACGGCTGACGCGTGCGAAGACGAGGAGGGCCCATGCAACGTGGTTGTGAGGAGTACGTTCATCGATGTGGATGATGGCCGAAGCCTGATGCAGCGCTACAGGCAGCTGCGCCGAGCGATGACTGATTCGCTCTTGATGGGAGCCTTTGCTGAGGAGGAGCCGTACTACCCAGGTAGATTCAGCGACGAACGAGCTGAGGCGCCGGAGGCTGCTAGTGAGCCTGCTGTGCCGGCAGTACCGGTGGAGCCAGCCCCGCAGCCGGCAAAAGCGACGACACAGAAGGACGCCAAGCACGCGACTGGTGAGCGCACCACCGTGATGCTGAGGAACGTTCCAAACAATTACAATCGTGACATGTTCCTGGCCATGCTGGACGAGCATGGCTTTGCCGGGCGCTACGACTTCGTCTACCTGCCCTGCGACTTCTACCGCCAGGCCAACCTTGGCTACGCCTTTGTGAACCTCGTGGACGACGCGGCCGTCGACGCCCTGTGGCAGACCTTCGACGGCTTCTCGGGCTGGTCCCTTCCCACGGCGAAGGTTTGCCAGGTGAGCTGGAGCGGCCCGCACCAAGGCTTCAAGGCGCGGGTTTTGGGACCCGGAAAGAGACAGCGAGAGCAGAGGGAGCAGGGAGGGGGCAGGGCTAAGCTATAGGGAGTTTTGAATTTCGGGCTGTCCAGGCGCATGTGGAGCGCTACAGGAACAGCCCTGTGATGCACCGAAGTGTGCCAGACGAGTACAAGCCTGTCATCTTCAAGAACGGTGTGCGTAAGAACTTCCCACGACCCACCAAGAAGGTCAAAGCACCGACTGCTGGCTTCTGAGATTCTGAGGACGTACGTAGGCCCCGTGCTCGCGCCACTGTGCAGCCCTGACCGCTTTTGAAGTGTAGTCTTTGAGACCTCCTCCTGCTCCCCAGTCCCCAATCCCGTTCTGAGGAACTTTGTACAGACAAGGCAAGAATGGCCCAGAGCCGTCTCTTGCCCTGCGCTGCCTTCGGGCAGCGGGCTGCCAGCGGTGAGCAGGCTGTGCTACACCTGAGCTACAAGGGACGGCGCTTGTAAAGCTTCGGGTTAAGCATGGAATTCGAGAAGCAAAACGAGAGTGAGCGACATGTCTGCGTTGCTCGTTTTGCCGCCAAGTTTCAACATTCTCAACTGCCCGCTTTGTTTTGAGATCTTGCATCTGCTAGAGCATGCTGCTGTCATCGCATCTCGGCTCCACATGGCTACAAGAAGTGCAGGATTAGGACTTGAAGTCGTCAAGAAGTGCGACCGTCAACGTTTTGTCTAGCCCCTCGTTGCCATGTCCTGCCTGACATCTACCCCGACTTTTCTTGCTGTTCCAGAACTGAAGCATGCAGACCGTCACAGTGATGTGGAAAGCACTGTGGCGAATGAGCACAGCGACATTGAAAGTGTCGAGGACTCTTGCCCTTCTGAAGTCCCATCGCCGCGCTCCAGTGGTACGGCTGACGCGTGCGAAGACGAGGAGGGCCCATGCAACGTGGTTGTGAGGAGTACGTTCATCGATGTGGATGATGGCCGAAGCCTGATGCAGCGCTACAGGCAGCTGCGCCGAGCGATGACTGATTCGCTCTTGATGGGAGCCTTTGCTGAGGAGGAGCCGTACTACCCAGGTAGATTCAGCGACGAACGAGCTGAGGCGCCGGAGGCTGCTAGTGAGCCTGCTGTGCCGGCAGTACCGGTGGAGCCAGCCCCGCAGCCGGCAAAAGCGACGACACAGAAGGACGCCAAGCACGCGACTGGTGAGCGCACCACCGTGATGCTGAGGAACGTTCCGAACAATTACTCTCGTGACATGTTCCTGGCCATGCTGGACGAGCATGGCTTTGCCGGGCGCTACGACTTCGTCTACCTGCCCTGCGACTTCTACCGCCAGGCCAACCTTGGCTACGCCTTTGTGAACCTCGTGGACGACGCGGCCGTCGACGCCCTGTGGCAGACCTTCGAGGGCTTCTCGGGCTGGTCCCTTCCCACGGCGAAGGTTTGCCAGGTGAGCTGGAGCGGCCCGCACCAAGGCTTCAAGGCGCGGGTTTTGGGACCCGGAAAGAGACAGCGAGAGCAGAGGGAGCAGGGAGGGGGCAGGGCTAAGCTATAGGGAGTTTTGAATTTCGGGCTGTCCAGGCGCATGTGGAGCGCTACAGGAACAGCCCTGTGATGCACCGAAGTGTGCCAGACGAGTACAAGCCTGTCATCTTCAAGAACGGTGTGCGTAAGAACTTCCCACGACCCACCAAGAAGGTCAAAGCACCGACTGCTGGCTTCTGAGATTCTGAGGACGTACGTAGGCCCCGTGCTCGCGCCACTGTGCAGCCCTGACCGCTTTTGAAGTGTAGTCTTTGAGACCTCCTCCTGCTCCCCAGTCCCCAATCCCGTTCTGAGGAACTTTGTACAGACAAGGCAAGAATGGCCCAGAGCCGTCTCTTGCCCTGCGCTGCCTTCGGGCAGCGGGCTGCCAGCGGTGAGCAGGCTGTGCTACACCTGAGCTACAAGGGACGGCGCTTGTAAAGCTTCGGGTTGAGCATGGAATTCGAGAAGCAAAACGAGAGTGAGTGACATGTCTGTGTTGCTCTTTTTGCCGCCACGTTTCAACATTCTCAATTGCCCGCTTTGTTTTGAGATCTTGCATCTGCTAGAGCATGCTGCTGTCATCGCATCTCGGCTCCACATGGCTACAAGAAGTGCAGGATTAGGACTTGAAGTCGTCAAGAAGTGCGACCGTCAACGTTTTGTCTAGCCCCTCGTTGCCATGTCCTGCCTGACATCTACCCCGACTTTTCTTGCTGTTCCAGAACTGAAGCATCCAGACCGTCACAGTGATGTGGAAAGCACTGTGGCGAATGAGCACAGCGACATTGAAAGTGTCGAGGACTCTTGCCCTTCTGAAGTCCCATCGCCGCGCTCCAGTGGTACGGCTGACGCGTGCGAAGACGAGGAGGGCCCATGCAACGTGGTTGTGAGGAGTACGTTCATCGATGTGGATGATGGCCGAAGCCTGATGCAGCGATACAGGCAGCTGCGCCGAGCGATGACTGATTCGCTCTTGGTGGGAGCCTTTGCCGAGGAGGAGCCGTACTACCCAGGTAGATTCAGCGACGAACGAGCTGAGGCGCCGGAGGCTGCTACTGCTAGTGAGCCTTCTGTGCCGGCAGTACCGGTGGAGGCAGCACCGCAGCCGGCAAAAGCGACGACACAGAAGGACGCCAAGCACGCGACTGGTGAGCGCACCACCGTGATGCTGAGGAACGTTCCAAACAATTACAATCGTGACATGTTCCTGGCCATGCTGGACGAGCATGGCTTTGCCGGGCGCTACGACTTCGTCTACCTGCCCTGCGACTTCTACCGCCAGGCCAACCTTGGCTACGCCTTTGTGAACCTCGTGGACGACGCGGCCGTCGACGCCCTGTGGCAGACCTTCGACGGCTTCTCGGGCTGGTCCCTTCCCACGGCGAAGGTTTGCCAGGTGAGCTGGAGCGGCCCGCACCAAGGCTTCAAGGCGCGGGTTTTGGGACCCGGAAAGAGACAGCGAGAGCAGAGGGAGCAGGGAGGGGGCAGGGCTAAGCTATAGGGAGTTTTGAATTTCGGGCTGTCCAGGCGCATGTGGAGCGCTACAGGAACAGCCCTGTGATGCACCGAAGTGTGCCAGACGAGTACAAGCCTGTCATCTTCAAGAACGGTGTGCGTAAGAACTTCCCACGACCCACCAAGAAGGTCAAAGCACCGACTGCTGGCTTCTGAGATTCTGAGGACGTACGTAGGCCCCGTGCTCGCGCCACTGTGCAGCCCTGACCGCTTTTGAAGTGTAGTCTTTGAGACCTCCTCCTGCTCCCCAGTCCCCAATCCCGTTCTGAGGAACTTTGTACAGACAAGGCAAGAATGGCCCAGAGCCGTCTCTTGCCCTGCGCTGCCTTCGGGCAGCGGGCTGCCAGCAGTGAGCAGGCTGTGCTACACCTGAGCTACAAGGGACGGCGCTTGTAAAGCTTCGGGTTGAGCATGGAATTCGAGAAGCAAAACGAGAGTGAGTGACATGTCTGTGTTGCTCTTCTTGCCGCCGAGTTTCAACATTCTCAACTGCCCGCTTTGTTTTGAGATAATGTGTTTGCTAGAACATGCTGCTGTCATCGCATCTCGGCTCCACATGGCTACAAGAAGTACAGGATTGGGACTTGAAGTCGTCAAGAAGTGCGACCGTCAACGTTTTGTCTAGCCCCTCGTTGCCATGTCCTGCCTGACATCTACCCCGACTTTTCTTGCTGTTCCAGAACTGAAGCATGCAGACCGTCACAGTGATGTGGAAAGCACTGTGGCGAATGAGCACAGCGACATTGAAAGTGTCGAGGACTCTTGCCCTTCTGAAGTCACATCGCCGCGCTCCAGTGGTACGGCTGACGCGTGCGAAGACGAGGAGGGCCCATGCAACGTGGTTGTGAGGAGTACGTTCATCGATGTGGATGATGGCCGAAGCCTGATGCAGCGCTACAGGCAGTTGCGCCGAGCGATGACTGATTCGCTCTTGATGGGAGCCTTTGCTGAGGAGGAGCCGTACTACCCAGGTAGATTCAGCGACGAACGAGCTGAGGCGCCGGAGGCTGCTAGTGAGCCTGCTGTGCCGGCAGTACCGGTGGAGCCAGCCCAGCAGCCGGCAAAAGCGACGACACAGAAGGACGCCAAGCACGCGACTGGTGAGCGCACCACCGTGATGCTGAGGAACGTTCCAAACAATTACAATCGTGACATGTTCCTGGCCATGCTGGACGAGCATGGCTTTGCCGGGCGCTACGACTTCGTCTACCTGCCCTGCGACTTCTACCGCCAGGCCAACCTTGGCTACGCCTTTGTGAACCTCGTGGACGACGCGGCCGTCGACGCCCTGTGGCAGACCTTCGACGGCTTCTCGGGCTGGTCCCTTCCCACGGCGAAGGTTTGCCAGGTGAGCTGGAGCGGCCCGCACCAAGGCTTCAAGGCGCGGGTTTTGGGACCCGGAAAGAGACAGCGAGAGCAGAGGGAGCAGGGAGGGGGCAGGGCTAAGCTATAGGGAGTTTTGAATTTCGGGCTGTCCAGGCGCATGTGGAGCGCTACAGGAACAGCCCTGTGATGCACCGAAGTGTGCCGGACGAGTACAAGCCTGTCATCTTCAAGAACGGTGTGCGTAAGAACTTCCCACGACCCACCAAGAAGGTCAAAGCACCGACTGCTGGCTTCTGAGATTCTGAGGACGTACGTAGGCCCCGTGCTCGCGCCACTGTGCAGCCCTGACCGCTTTTGAAGTGTAGTCTTTGAGACCTCCTCCTGCTCCCCAGTCCCCAATCCCGTTCTGAGGAACTTTGTACAGACAAGGCAAGAATGGCCCAGAGCCGTCTCTTGCCCTGCGCTGCCTTCGGGCAGCGGGCTGCCAGCAGTGAGTAGGCTGTGCTACACCTGAGCTACAAGGGACGGCGCTTGTAAAGCTTCGGGTTGAGCATGGAATTCGAGAAGCAAAACGAAATATGTAGATTTGTAGTGATGCTATTGCCTGGTGCACCGCTTCCGTCCGATGTCGACCAGAGAAACAGCAGCAGTTCTTACCCAGGCCGGCCCTGGTCCAAGCGCCCGTGACCGTGGGCAAGCTCGCCAAGCCGGGGAGCCCCGGACAGGGCCAGTGCTCACCTTAAACTAACATAACTTGTGTTATAGACCCTAAAATGCAGTTTCCAAGGACCCTACAAACAACTAGGTTTCGGTAGGTTAAACCAGGGGCTTAGGCTTAGCGCGTTATCTTTGGTTTCGGAGTCTACATTCCCTGATGCAAGATCGAAATTTTCCCGAGTCTCGTGTCAGTTCGGCCGGCACCTCAGGAACTCTGCAAGTTCTGACTTTGCCAGTTTGCATTCCGAGGCAACCTAAAGCCCAAGCGACAGTACATGTCATGGCTTCCAGAACGTGCTTTTGTCGGTTGTTCTCAACTGTGGTACTGTCTAGTGAGTACTTACAGTCTCCATTGTAGTGTCTGTTTTTGGTTACATCATGGGATCCTAAGTATATGTGTGTATAGGTAGTATATAGGTTAAACCAAGAAAAGGAATAATACTACAAAGCAGACTACCATTGCTGCAAGTAGCTGTTTTTCACGGTGATGCAAATATCTAACCTCTGTTGTAGTGCAGCCCTGATGAACTGATGCCTTGGCCGCTGCTCAGCAAGTAGTACGTAGTCTTTACGTTTTTAAGTAATCCTATGTCAAAGGGAATATCATATCGATATGTGTTTCGAAAAGCATACATAGGTGTTTTCTCGTTTTTGTGCGGTGCAGCCCCAAACGGGATACCACGGCATACCCAAATTAGAAGCATACTTAAAGGCTCAGGGGACTTAGTAAGTAAGGCTATAAGTAGCTTATAATTAGGATAGCCCCACTTAGGGGACTTATAACCCCAATAATAACCTACTTACTAAGTCCCATGATCCTTCAAGTAGTCTTGGGGTAGCATGAAGCCTGGTTCCTCCATGGGGCTCGCGCAGCTCTCGTGAACTTGCACTGTTTCCTTGCTGCGGCTCAAGCTTGGCCTTTAGGGTTCATGGTTCAAAGTTTAGGGTTCAGGGTTTGGCTAGGGCTTAAGGTTCGGGGTGTACTGGCGCAGATAACGTATGATGCACATGCCTTGTGAGCATGCTCTCTCCTTAACTCGTCATGGCAATCTAAGTCCCAGGATTCTCTTTCATCATCGGCATTCGACTGTTCATGGAATTGCAGAAGTGCTATCAAGAGTTTAATTTGACCCTTTCAGTGCCTTTCCCACGTCGTTGGCGGCAAGCTGCGGGGATCGCAATGGCTGCAGCATCACCTATGCCCCTTGACACAATAAAGCTGGAGGTGAGAGCTCAAGATCTGGGCTTTTTACACTCAGAGCTCTGGTCTCTTAGGCCCAGACTGCGCAGGCCGGATAACCACAGAAACCTGTCGAGAAGCCAGCATCCCAGCCCTACGCCCGCATACCCCAAACCCCTACACCCCTAACCCCGGCACTTTGCAGTCGGAAGAGGGTGCTGTAAAGAGAACCCTAAAAATCCCTAAACCCCTAAGCCCCCTAGCTTCAAACCCTGGGTGCTTTAAAGAGAACCCTAAAGACCCTTATAAACCCTGAGCCCCTAAGCCCCCTAACTTCAAAAACCCTCTGCAACTGAGCGAGAGATCCGAGGCTCTACGCCCCACCCCCGGCGGCGAGCTCAGCATGCTGAAAGTTTTGGGACTTGAAAAATTAGGGTTTAGGGTTTAGGGTTTAGGATTAAACCGATTAGAGATAGGGTTCCTTTGAGGGGTTACAATAAGGATGGC